ACACAAACTCTTCAAATATTTTTAAGTTAAACTCTTAAAAATGTAGAAAAGGATACAAGGGCAATTCTTTTAGATACGACTCTAAGATGTTACCGATTAAATTTACATCAAAATAGAAAAATTGATTCTTCGACTCAATATTGATATATTCCAAAGTGTCAAGGAAATTGTCTGAAGAATCAAAAATGTCTGAAGAATAAAAAATGTCTGAATTTGTCTGAAGAATAGTTTAAGGTAGAATGTTTGGTTGTTGTGCGGCTCAAAACAGTAAAGTTCTTCTTGCAAGAATCCGGTTCACCCAGGTTAACGAGAAAGGGTAATTTTTGCATCTAGTCATAGCAGTTCTCCCTGTAAGACTACAGGTGAGGGTACAAAGACCACATTCGAATATAATTGTAACTTTAGGGGCTTTGTTATCTAATGTTGTGAGAATATATCAACAGGTCATATATTAATTGGTCAGGTTCATTTTTACACCAAGAGAAGAAATGACACCAGTCAGTTAAGGGCTTAAAAACTCATTTGCTTTCGGTTTGACAAACCAGAAGAAATTTTTCGTTTTTCTTAAATAAATGGATAAATTTTTCTTGCCTAAGAGTGCATACAAGAGGATGATGTCTTTACAGGAACATATAGTTTCAACACAAAACGAGCAAGGCTCTCAGCTGAAATTGATGTTCAAGATACTGATTTCGTTGAATGAATTTAAGATGAAAATGGCAATGAAAAAAGTAAAAAATTTACAGCGTTTTTGTCTGACACTGCTCAGAGTATAAAACGTCACTGACCGCCAGAAGATTGTTCAAATTTAAAATGACAAAAAAAGGAATGAGATTGGTAAAATCGAAGAAGTCAGCGAAGAAGAAAGAATGGAGAAGTGTAACTTCAAAAGACTCCGGGGCCTTAACAGAGTTTTGCTTGACCAGCTAAAGCTTATATGTACAACATTCTGTATCAACCTTTAATAAAGCATTCTTTCTCGAAATATTCTTCTTAAAAAGGACAGCTTGAATTGAACCGAAAATTTCACTCATTTCAGAAATCCATTATATTATGCTCTAACAAAAATCAATTATAAAACTTGACTGATACTTCAACAATTGCGCGGAAGATCTCGCAAATTTATACCCTTTTAAAGTCAAGTAATTTTCGATTTAACAGATAGACAACAATAAATTTAATATTTTTCAAAAGCCAAGTATACTGTAAAGAATTGCATGCAAATATATATTTTTACAGAACGTTGAAGGCTACTCGAAATTGCTGGCAAGCATTTTGAGCAAATCATGTCAAATTGACTAAAATTGACAATATCGCTGGAATGCCTTATACGGCGATGTATTTTCTCGTTATTAAGAGTGGGTCTCTCGATTTCACGAAAATCTGGGAAGGTTGGTGCCACATGGCATTCGACTGGACAGGGAATGAAAAATTTGAAATATAAGATAGTATTTTGAAAAAATAAAATAGTTTGAGGGTCTAGTAAGATAGCAAGTTCTTAGTTTTGGAAGCAGATATAAAGTGGCTTTTTTAAAGTTAGTATGAAGGAAAGCATAGCATCTGATACGCAACTCAAAGATTAAAAAAACTAAGCACCTCGAAGAAAAAAGAAAAATCGTGGAGTTTATCAACGTTTAGAAGAAGAACAAAATCAATGATCGTATATGATTTTGATGGAAAAAAAAGAAAATGATTATTGAATAATTTCAAGAAAATGTTCTTTAAGTTAAGCAAGTGAAAATAGCTTTGTTTGTAAAGTACCCAGGAAAAAGTATATCAGAGTAAAGAAAACTATATGGAATATTTACAACCACTGCCAAAAGTCTTGGAACACTAACATCAGTTTTAAAAGGCAAATTCAGCCACCCCCTCTCCCCCCTAAGAACAATGTTGATTTACTATAGAAAAAAGGAAGGGGTTGTGGAGTACGCTTTTTCATATGCCTTGTATGATATTTTCTATACTTTCAACATTGTTTTGGGGGAAAGGGGGACGGAATTAGTTGTATTCGGGAAAACAAATTAAACATAGAGAAGCACAGCGCAAAGGGTTTGGTGTGCCAAGTACTTTTGGCAGTGATTGTACACAACAGTCAGAAGTTGTCAAAACTTTATTAAAAGTTTGATTGACATTCAAATACACCACTAATGAGAGTCTACATGAAACTTGAGGTTTTCTACAAAAAGTGGATTTTGAATGGATCATTTGGGAGTTCTCTCTAACGCAGACAATTCAACTGGTTTCAATCATTACAAAGATCAATTTCAAAAATAAAATAGAGAAAAGATGGTATAAAAAATGGCAAAATGAGAAAATTGCATGAGCTAGCCACGTTTTATGAAATACCCTTACTGATGACGACCGAATTTAAATAAAGGAAAAAAAAGAGAATAAATACAAGGGCATATTTTTGGAAGAATATCGTTTCTTAATATTCTTCCTTGAAATCTTATGCAGTCGTTAGGATAATCAATTGAAAAAGTTTGCTCAGTGTGAGGATTCTGGATTTGCCAAAATATGACCATCATTTGACTGTTAGTGGTTGATGAATAGAACTACACAATGTAAAACAAAACAAAAAAATATGAAACGACGCTCTGTTGATAATGGCGAACCAAGCTTCATTGCAGTGATAAAATTTTGAGTCGTGCAATTATTTTACTTTTAACATCAATTTATTTTGAAAAGGTAGTTTACATTGTTCCTGCAATGAAAAAACCGCGATATTTGATTTGAAGCAAAACATGACAGAAAAATGCAAAATAAAATTTGCTTATTCAATAAAAATAGTTGTGGTTAATGAGGAGTGTTTACGACTGGAAATTATTGAAAGAGAAGCATTTTAGAGCTAAAAAGGGTCAAAGACCATTAAATGATTAAAATCTTTGTGATGGTTAATTTGTGTTTAGCAATTTTACAAAAAGGAGAAGAAATTTACAAAATAAAGGGCGATAAACACAATATTAACTGATACTTTAAACTGACAGAAACTTCTTGGTTCACAAGCTGTTAAATGGACAGTTGAGGCGGATATTATTAAAATCATTAGATGCGCACTAAAGGAACTGTATTAAAAGATGGGTACATGAAGTCTTGTCAGCTTAAGTAATCAAAGATCAATTAAGGCAATGGGATGAAATAAAACAAAAATGGGTCATTAGCAAATGCAGAGTTGAATAGCATTTTGTGTACTTGGTAATTTGAAATCAACCTGTTTTAAATATCAAAGACTCGCGGAACGATATTTGATAATGATAAATTAGACTTGGAAAATAGCATCGGCAAAGACAGTTGTCAAAAGCAATGCAAGACTGCTAACATCGAAGCAGTTTAAATCTTTGTTTTCAATTGTTTTTCTTTTTTTCACATAATTTATATTTGTAATTATCATTCCCCTTTTCCATTCGCTGACGTTCAACTGATCCAATTGACGTAAAATACAAAACCTTTGAGTTTTTTCTTGCATAACTTTTGCTACTCACTCTGGAGTAGAGAGAGTTTGTAGAATCGACCCAACAGTGCTTATATTCTGTTTTTACGATTCTTTCTACCACACAACAAGTACTATTGCCAGCACCGTAAACGTGGACAAGGGGAAGCTTATTGAAAAGGAAATAAACTGTAAATGATTTAACAAATATATCAAATAAACGTAAACAAACTTGGAAGAAAATAAATCAAGTATGTGGATGAATTGGGGTAGCTTATGATCCTAATTGGAAGGGTTTACATTTGTTGATTAACGTAATAAAATTGGGGGGAAAGCGGGTACACAGAAACCTTGTGAGAAACATAAGAAATCCTTCCTAGTTTATAAAAACAGACAAACGACAAGGGAAAACAAGTTTAATATATCAGTTCACGCAAATTATTTCATTGCTCGAGGCTTTTTTTCATGGTTCGTACAATTACTGAGAGAATAAAACTTAATTACACAATGCGACATGATAAAGCAAAAAGATTTCATCGGGAAATACAAGCATTTGACGATCAATGCTTTCTATTATTACCTAAGTTACTTTATTGGTTTTAGAATAACTGTTTTAATGACCTGAAAACAAACGAAAATCTTTGGAAACAACAGTTTGCAAACCAGGCAGGAAACCAAATGTTCTAAGAGATTCAACTAACAGTGAAGCAGGCTTAAATTCTGATTAAAGGATCGAAATCCGGAAAAATGACATTGAAAAGTTTGAATGGACCAACTTCAGGAGATTTCCTTGGCAAAACTGATGACAAGGAGTAATTTGGAAGAGCAAAATGAATTAAAAAGTTGGTTTTGCAAAGAATCTTAATTATTGCACAAGATTAGCGTAAAGTCATTAAGGAAAAACATTACTGTAACAATAAGTGAATGGGTTTTTTAACTAGCAGAAATTGTGAGGAGATAGATTGCCGAGTCATATGTTCTTTTTGCTTAAAAACAAACAATGGCCTGTGATAACGAGCCATTTCGGAGAAGAAAATTATGTCCTGGAGTTATAAGATTGAGATAAAGATGATGTTTTTGACATTTACTTTGAATTGTAAGGTATTTGAAGTAATGAATAACGGATTAAATAAGCTATTGAGAGGGTTATATCAGTTAAAAAAATAGCGAAGGAATGAAAGAGTTAATCGATCAATGCAACAAGGAATTTACGAGTGTTTTTCACAACTAAAATAGATGACAGTAGATTTGAAGGAGATAATTTATCTTTATAGCTACGTAAGCTGTGCTTTCAGAGTCATGAATGGGTAAACAGGATTAATTAAAATACACAAAGCATGCATTGCAGAAAGAGTTTCAAGAAAAAATATATTCTAAACCTTGTCAGTTACAAGAAATTAAAGATTTGTAGAACTTGGACAGATTTCGTAATGAAAATGGCTATTTTAAGAAAGGAAGGAACCGCTCAAGAAAAGCAAGGGAAATCAACAAGAGAAATCAATTGACAGTTGGAAAACGGTGAAATGGCACCGAATGGGACTGGCCTGAAAAACAGAACGAAAATGCATACCTTCCTCACGAACGATCTGCTTTCCTAGGGATAGAAAGCCAAGGCTTGCACCAGCCTGAACCTACGGTAACAGAATGAATAGATGGTTAATCAGTGCGTTGCAGTAAAAAGAAGGGCAACGAAAACAAAGAAATTACAAATTCGTAACGAAACTTGCATCACACGCATAGGACATTAATATAGCAAATTTTTTGTACTGAAGAATATCTTTAAAAAGGATTACCCTAACAGGGGCCAAAGGAAAAGGGTGAAGACAAGACTTGTGCAGTCTTCAAAAAGCTTTAAATTGATAATCAAATATTTTTCCACTCCATGGCCCTTAAACTTCGGAGTTTCACTGGTGAATAGTAAAGTTGCAATCTTTTTTAGAAGCAGTATAAATCAAACTAGAAGTAAATACACTATTTTACAAGAATATTGTTTATTGGAAAACGAAGGCTCAAAATCATCCAATTTCAAAGAATATTATAAGAATATAGCGCAGCCTTAGGTTGCATATTTGAGAATCATTTTTCAGCAGTTGCCTGTCTTATCACTTTCATAACAGAGAATCGAATGAATGACATAGCTCATAGTTTTTCGAAGACACAAAATGAAGATTATACAATAAACGAAAACCATGCCAGCTTTTTCTTTCAAAGGACCTGCTGTGAGGAACTTGGAATAACAATGAATAAGTTTAAAACATCTCATTTTTGGCATTGATGGTATATTGTGGCCCTTTCTCAAAATTTGGATGCCTGTTACTGCACCATCATTATGAATATATGTCCATTCACAAGGTAGATTCCCAGAAAAATTGGATCATTGCAAGGGCTCAAACATTTACAAAGAGGGCTCCACCGAAGATAGATGGAACTAAAGACCAATCTCTAACATTTCTGTGATTTCACAATGAAAAGGTGGTCTTTGCGCAGGTACTTCATTATTTTGCTGAGAATGGGTTTTTCTGTACAGATCAGTCGTGTTTCAGGCTTTTTCTCTTCGATTTGACATGCTTGCTAAAGTGTACCAATGATTGGTATCTAAACTTCGACAAAGGGACCTTTTCTAAAGCCACTTTTATTGACTCGATGACAGAAAGCCTTTGGCACTGTCAACCACGATACTCTTGTAACTTGGTAGCTTGAAGCCTAACTGGGTCACATTACAACTAAATAGTAGAAAGCAATGCTGTAAGGTAAATGGCCATATATTTGAAATACAGGACATCAAATGTGGGGTGCCTAACCTTGTCGAAGTGAATAAAAATGAATGAAAATTTCTATTTGAAGAAACTTGCTTACTTGGGATCTAGACTTGATGACGTCTGTAGGATAAATTGTTGCCCATAGTGATACTCCGCCCATACCACCAGCGATAACTGTCTTCAAAAGACCTGAAACAAAAACGCATTACATTTAAGGGGCTATATTCATTAAAATTTAATTAACATACATGACAGAATAATCAAGTATAGTATAATAAAATTCAATGCATTATTAAATAAAAAATTACAAAAATGAGAACAGAAAAAGTAAAAAAACATAATTGTATATAAGGTGGATTTTTTCAAGAAAGGATCTTTAAAAATGTTAACTTATGAAGGGAGAGCCCCCATAAAATTTGCAAATGTACAATCCCCAGTGAACTGCGAAGGGTGCTTTATTTGGTGAGCAGTCCATTGATTAGCAAGAGACATTTCCTAGGATCAATTTTCAGATTTTCATTTGAAATGATTTCTCATAATCCAGAAGTTGGTGAAATATTGCTTGTCTTATGTCAGCAAAATCGATTTAGTTTCAATGATTGTAAATTCAATTGTGAATTCAACTGAGAAAATTTAATGGATCGGGAAAGTGCATTTTACCGTGAGTTTGCACAGCACTTGAGATATTGGCAGCACAATTTGCAACTGGCACAATACCAAAACGATTAAACGTATTCGATGTATACAAACGGTGTATGAATATCAAAACAAAGCTTAACTTGAACAATTTGCAAGCAAATAACTCGTTAGAGGTTCTAATATTGCTTCAAATTTACTAATTTGTTCCTCAATTCGTGAATAATTTCTTGTTCAATTTGGAATTGCAGATTTTGATTATTCAGGTTTGACGTGATATGTTGCTAGTTGATATGATGACATAATTGGCCTATTCTGCGATACAGTTTTCTGTGATACGGTAAGGGCTGTAAGAAAAATATCCAGGAACACGCATCAAGGTTTCGTCGACATTGCAAAATTCATTTGCTAAGGTGAAAGAAACCAAACGGTAGACTGGCAACAACAGAGGTATGAAGATGACTACTTGCAGAACAAAATTGCCTCATAAAATATCTGTCTAAATTTCTGTTCCGCTATTTACGAATTCCGTGGAGCACCAGAATGGTATTAATCATCCACTGACTGCAAATTTCCATCTTTTGGGAAGATCCATCTTATATAAACAATATACTGGAAAGGGACCATTCCAAGTTAATGAAACCCATTAAAGTGCAGCCATTAAACATACATGATAGTGGTATTTTTGGCTAATTGGTCCATGGCCAAGGTCGTCTCACAAAACTTCTGCCAATCCTCTTTTCCTCCCTTCTAGCACTGCGAACCTCTTTGCATCAGCCTTTGCTATCAACTCAAACCTCGATGATCGACAATTACAACCCTATCATTAACCCCCTTCATCTCTTTCAATGTCACAAATTAAGTTCTCTACCCGCAAAGTCCGCAAACCTCTTCTCCTACTGAATACCTCTAAATCTACAGGACATGACAGTCTACCAGCAATTGTTCCAAAACATGTTTCCAGGAACTCGCACAAATCCTTAACAAACATTTCCAGCTCTCCAATTCACTTGGCATTTTTCGAACCTCCTGGAAACTAGCCCACGTTTTTCCTATTCCTAAAAAAGGGGGGCAAGCCTTACCCAATCACCTACCGCCCAATTGCAATCACTTCCCTGATTTCCAAAACAATGGAGACAATCATCAACAAGAAACTTCTCACCTTCCTTGAAACCAACAAACTCCTTTCCGATCACCAGTATGTCTTTCGCCAAGCAAGATCTACCGGTGATCTTTTAGCTTATGCTACTCATGTTTGGTCCTCTGCCCTGGAATCCTTTGGCGAGAGTAGAATTATCTCTTTCGACATCTCCATCGCCTTCGATCGTGTCTGGCACAAAGTTCTCCTTTCAAATCTCCCCTTGTATTGTCTCCATCATACCCTTATAAATTGGATTAGTACTTTCTCTCAGACAGGTCTATAGCCATTAGAATTGACGGCTATCGCTCCAGTCCCAACTCAAATAATGCCGGTGTCCCACAAGGTTCTGTCATATCTCCTGTTTTTTCATCTTTTCCATAAATGATCTGCTAACTTCCACCGCTACAAATACTCATTATTTTGCTGACGACACCCATCTGAGCTCTTTATTTCCCTTTGATTCTCCACATAAATCTACTACAAACAACCTTTAAAAAATATTTCAGCCTCACCTCTCATTGACGACCTTGCAAAAATCGAGAAGTGGGGGTAGAGACAATTTTGTAAAATTTAATCAAACAAAAACCATACAGATTGTCATTTCACGCAAATAAAACATTTACTTTCCTCCAGTCTCCATAAACGGTCCCTATTTAAACCTTTTTTGCTTGTTTTTCACAATTAGGCCTTTCTGTTTCTTCCAAACTTAATTGGAAATCTTACATTCTTCTATCGCTTTAACACTCCTCTTACACTTGGGTTCCTTTCTAGAGCACGTGGATTTTTCTAACCATCATAACTCTTAACAATTTATAAGTCTCAAATCCGTCTCTCCATGGAGAACTGCTCCCATATTCGGGGTGGTGCTCCAAAATCTTCCTTGTCCTTCCTTGACAAAGTCAAATCTAAAGCCATTCGTCTCATCATCAACTGCAACCTCACCAAGTCTCTTCAGCCTCTTTTCCATCAGTGCTATGTCGCCGATTCCGCAATTTTTTCAAAGATTTTACGACAGCCATTGCTCTCAGAAGGACATACACAAAATACCAGACACGCTTCCAGTGTTAACCCTCTCCAAGTCTCCTTACCAAACGCACCAACTCAATACCACATCTCTTCCTTCCTCTCTAGATCTTGTAAAATCTGGAATGATCTACCCCCTTCCCGTTTCCTTGTCTCTTACAACGTGTCTTTATTCAAAACAAAACTAATCCTTTCTCCCTTACCCTTGTTATGGCCTAGCTATAGGCTCATAACATTTACCCAACGTCATCAACTAAAAAAAATTTAAAAAATGGGAGAAATTTTACCCTAGTTAGTGGAAAAACTCATGATACCTCGTGTAATTTGTGCTCGGAATTATTGGTCGAAAGGATTATTGGTCGAAACATCTTTCATTAACTGAAATCTGCTATGTAAAAAACATTACTGAATAACAGCGAGAAAATATTGAGAGCTCTTCGATAATTCAAATAATAATGATACAAAAACTATGCACAGCTTGCAAACCAGCAATTGCATACAACTTTCATACCCGCTGGATGCAGCAATAAAAAAAAGTTTTAACCATATAGATATCTCTGTTCAAACAAGCTTAGTTAAATGTTACTGAAATATCCAAACATTTGATACTTTACAAAGTAAACATTCGGTTTGATATTTTTTCAGCTGCAAAATTTCCTACAAATATCTCAAGCGTTGTGCAAACTCATGTGAAAGTGCACATTTCGAATCCATTAAATTTACTTTTTTAGTTGAACTCAAGGTTTAATTTAGAAACATTGCAACTAAATTAAATTGCTGTATATAGAACAAGCCATCTTTCAGCAATTTCTAGATTACAAGAAATCCTTCAAATAAAACTGTCTGGAAAGTAAATCTAGGAAATAATGTCCCTAGCTAATCAGTGAACTGATCAACAAAAAAAGAATCCTCCTCAATCTACTAGAGATTGTACGTTTGCACATTCTATGGGGGGGGGGGGCTCTCATTTAATTAGTAAACAAAATAAGAGACCTTCTCTTTAAGTAGTCCATCCTACGTACAGTTATGTGATATGCTTTCTTTATAGTTGTCGTATCGTCACTTTTAGCAAATTTGCTGTATTATGTTGCATTCAATTCATTATCATTTGAAATTTTACGTAGGATGGATTAATAATTCATTTAAACCTGCAACGGAACATAAACTGACTGAGGTGTGGCTGTGATATCTTCAAAGAAAGTCTCCCTATAAGACAGAGACAATTTACACCTAACTTGCATGGGATGAATGTAACAAACACATCACTGCTCACCATACTTTTCACTTTTCATGTCATTGGTTGAAGCCAGAAAATATTTAGTTGCTTCATAGCCTCCAAAGAAGAAGAAGTATCCTGGCATTTCTCTTGCAACTGTTGCAGCAAATCCATTGTAAAATCCAAGAAATCCATCAGCTTTAAAAGTGTCCCTCATTACACTCAGCGGACCCCTGAAAAATAGATTAAATTGAAAAAGGAATCATTGTAACAGTCAAATTGTCATATCATTGGATGCAGTTATAAGTCAAAGCTTTACCAATGAACAAAGAGGAATAAAGAAATTGAAAATTTCTTCCAAGGTTTCATATATTCTCAAAAATTTCAAATCCATTTGACTTTACAACTGGATCAACCTCACTTTCAAGAACAGAGGTAATACAGTTATAGACAAATAGATAAATAAGGGTTGAGCCATCTAAAGCAGGTTTCGAAGACTAGCTGTAATATTGTTCGAAAGGACTAGGCCATTTAATTATTGTAGGTTTTTCAGGATTCTCCTATCATCCTCAGCTAAAATATTAAAGGCATTTGATTCCAAACATTCAGTTATTCAAGCAATGTACATAGCTAATCTTTATTAATATAATTTAAAATTATAATTGACTTAAAGGGTCGGACTAGGCCATTATATTATTGGTTCCTTTCTTAGAATATTCTAACATGTTAAGCTAAAAGACCTACATATGGATGTTGATTTGAAACCCTTACTTAGTCAAGCAATAATCATTAGCATGATATCATCACTATTATCAAATTACAAATAAGGAAAATTCAAGTGAAAAAGTGAGCAGAAAATACAGATGATTCAAAACAAAGAAAGAGGAATAATGACTTAAAAATCTAGTGCTTTTCGATTCCATGGACATAGAAATTAGAAAAAATTGCTGACTGGGCCTAGTCTTTTTAGTATGTAAAAAAAGTAGTATTGGTTTAGATTTTTTAAAAACTCTGTGAATATAACTTCTGGTGTCTTTCATTCATTTTCTTGCTGTTTCTAAATTCTAAATGCATATCTAAAGTCTTTGTTTGTCTTTTAAGTAACACATAGCTTCTTTTTCTGCACTTTTTCTTTGTAGGAATTTATCAAAGCACTTTGTGTTTAAACAATGAAAATATGAGCTAGTTTTAAAAAGTAAGATCAAATCAGCTTGTGTTCTACCAACCAAATGTTGATTGGCCAAAGATTGCCCTCTTGGTTCACCTTTTGCTTGTTTGGAGTATTTTGATTGGCTTTTGAAAATCCACTAGAGCTTTCGCCATCTACTTCCATCCTCAGTTTAGTAAGATAGCACAAACTTTAGTAAACTTATAGACGTCATCTGGGCACATGGCTTTGATAGCTCTGTCTTGAGCTCTTTCCATGTGTACATCAGCTAATCAAGTAAAACTAATGTTGTTTATCTTAACCTTTTTGTATTACTTGATCTTCAAATTTACAGTACTGATTGTATTAAACAACTTTAGAATGATGTAACTTGTAATTAGCTTGATAAGCTGAAAAAAATTTTGAGTTTGAGTTCGAGTTATAGACACTTACTATTAAATGTGAGCCTTCTACTTCATAAATTAATGAAAACTCTGTACTACAAGGAAATTATTTTGTATAATAACTTAGCATTCTAACGGAATACAAAGCACACATTTGGAAAGCTGCAAATGGTATATATCTATATTACAAGCTGATTACACTGTCTTTGCTTTGAACTTTGAACAGCTTTATTATAAAAAGGTGCACCAAGAGGGCAATGCCTTTCAAAGCATTTCTTGTAATTTTTGAGTGATTCTATTGGATATTTTCATGGTTTCTTGTTTCTTACTATATGTTATAGGTTGGCGTGCCTCCCCCACTTTTCTGCAGAGGAAATAAATTTGTTTATGCAAAAGTAGAAAGAAATGTAGTCCACAATTCTGTACCTAATCGAGCCTAATATTCTCTGAAATATGCCCTTAGCTTTAGCCTTGCTACTAGGTCTTTTAGAAGACATATAATTGAACATATGAATTTGATCGAAGAAACCAGTGATTGTTCGATGTTTACAATTAATAACAGCTTGGCTGTTGAAAGCTAGAAACCTGATCTGACCCAGAATAACTTGGTGGCAGCACAAAACAATGGAGTTTTGTTTTTCTATGGCCTAAAAGCTTGGCTCCCAAAGCCTATATGTTAAGAGAAATTTATCAAAAACATCACAAAAAGAGAGATATTGGCTGTTGAAAGGAGAAGAAACAGCTGGAAAGAACTTTTCTGAGGATATGAGAAATAGAGAATAGGCAGATTTGTTCTTTAAAATTATCATCAAGAAAGCTTCAAAGTTTGATTGTATTGTTAATCCATTCCTACTAAGAAAGATAAAATCTAGATGTAATTATAAATTTTATTAAAACTCCTTTTGACCAGCGCAGTTTAAAGGTTTTTCAAAACCAGAGTCCTTTTTCGCTAAAAGCACTTTATTCCCTAAAAATTTAAGATCAGATTTAACAAAATAATATCCCAAAGATACAAAATATCTTAGCCTTTTATTTTAATAGTTGATGGTTCTTTGTTGACATTTCAATGTTAATGTATTTTATTAAAGCCTGTTTCACTTTTATTGTTCGTTATTTTATTTTATTTTCTTTGTCATCTTATTTTTTTGTCATCTTATTTCTTCATCATCTTATTTTGGTTACTTTTTGAATCAAGAAAATTTCATCAGGAGCTACATTAAGAAGGTTATTTGAAAACTTTGCAAGACCTTTCCTATATCAATTCAAAATTACAGAATTATGGGGTCTTAATGAAAATGATGCCTCAGATTTTTCTTCACTTAAAATCAATTTTAGATACAGTTTCTAGCCATCCCAAAGATGCTGTATTTCTAAAATTTTTCTTGCCGCCAACCATGGTGGTGGCCTTTCCTAAACCCTTTCGAAACTTTAGTAAATCGGGCCCCTCCACTTTAAAAAATGTTTCGTCAGCCCTGATGCCAGACATTTAAGTGTCTTTTTGGCATGGGAATGGTACACGAATTTGTATAAAAAAGTATATATTTATCTCCTAACAAAATATGTTTGCTTCCTGCCAGGTTCTTTGCAGCTTTGGTTCCAATTGAACCTGGAAACATGCGACTAAAAAACAATAGAAAATCTTACATTCCAGGTTTCAGTGTGCCGAATTCCCTTGCTGTTTGTAATCTGCATTTGATAAGTTCAAGCGGGCAGAGAAAAAATGATGCAAGAAAGGCGGCCAGTGATCCAGAGCAAGCATGGTGAAAAGCATTCAATTCTGCTGCACTAGTTCCTGTTGCAACCTGCACTAGCTTTTGACATTGACTATAGCAGAGAAAAATTACAGAGTTTTCTCCTATCTGAGCCATCAACGCTGGTGTTGCACCGGCATAAAATCCCCTAAACCCATCTTTAACTGACATTTCTTTTAGGCATTGCAATGTACTCCTGTATAAATGTGGTGAAACTTGCATCTTCACTTTAATTGTATCAAATGGTTGGCCCGCATAAACGCAAGCAATTCCTCCAGCTGACCCAGCAGTCAAGTCTATAAGCATTTCTCTCCTTACTTTTCTCCAGTCTTTAACAGCCATTTTCTACCAAAAAAGAGAAGAGAATGATGATGAGCTCACAGGCGCCTTGTAGGCCAGGTCGAAAATGAAGTACCAGTTCAGACATCATTTATTAAAGTAGAGAAAAGGTTTATACAAAAACATTTTACGTCTAGGCCAAAGCAAAAATGCATTTATTTATTACTTAGAAGGTAATCAGAATAAAACATACAAAAAATCAGACTGTAAAGACTTCCAACAGTTCTCTGGTTCATCAGTAACCTCCCTCTTACACTTCCTCTCTCTTGGATCTTCCACGAAAAGTTGTTGTTGTGGCTCTTCTGGTGCCACGAACGACCCCTGCCGTGCACATGCTTTCATCGCTATTCCCGTTACTTGAATGGGCAGTACTACTTGAAAGTATTTATCCTTTTTTCGGGATTTTTTGTCTATTGGAAAGATAAAAGAAGGATTTACAATTTAGAAGGACTTTCTAAGAAATTGGGAGGAATTTTTGGAAATGCGACAAAATATCTAGAAAGTTATGAAAAATGATTTTTGTCACTGTGTCTGTCAGAGCTTTCTCTTCTCTCAGGTTTGTACGGCTTAAAGGTCATATGAACCGAAAAACGATTTTCACATATTTGGTAGAGCTTTTTTCGCTTGTCAAGATGCCGTTTCCCGTTTCTTTCTACGACTTGAACTTTTCTAGATATGGCGCTCGAAAGCCCGAAAAAGTGACCTTCAAAAGCGATGCCACTCGAACGCGGTCAGATCAATGCTATGACGTAATAGGTTTGACACGTCCCTTCGATAGCCATTGGAACCATTGTCAGTGATGTTGATAAAAAAATCTTGCAAAACAAGATAAAAGCACGAAACTTTGTCAGAATACAGAGTTTGACACGCTGAAAATGATAGGATGCATATCTAATCTGGCAAATGCCCCCTTGTGCAATTTTTAGACTGGGGTACTCGATTCCAGGCCTTTGAAGGGGTTTTTCCATAAATCAGTTGAAGATCGCGATAAAAGCATGAAACTTTGTGAAAGTACATAGTTTGATACGCTGAAAAAAATAGGATGCGGAACCCAGTTCGCAAATTACCCCTTGTGCTATTTTTAGACTGGGGTACTCGATTCCAGGCTTTTGAGGATATTTTCCCAAAAGTCAGTTTCAAAACACAATTAAAGCAAGAATCGTGCTGCAAGTACATGACTTGATCGCTGAAGATGGGATACTGCCCCCAACTATCAGTACCCCTTGAGCTATTTTTAGACGAGGGTACTTGTTCCCAGGCCTTTGAGGACTTTTTTTTCAAAAATCAGTTGCAAAACACAAGGAAGTCCAAGGAATTTGAAGGGTTTTCCCATAAATCAGTCATGGAACTTTGCAAAAGTTGAAAATATTATGAAGTTATTGCTATGTTTTTTGAAATAATGACCTCTGCGATGCCCGGTTTGCAGAACATAGTATTTTTACAAGATCTTGGGTGCGCCAACAGCCCCACAACTAAGATGAGGAGGGGGGGGCAAAGTTACCCAAATGTGCCAGGTGCCCCAGGGGGGCACTCTGCTCATAGGTAAGTCCAAGAAATTTAAAGGCCACCCAAAAATATCAGCTCATTTTCAATAAGACCCAAGAATATCAGTTTTATTTTTATCTTGTACCCAAAAATATCAAAAATTGGAATTTTGGGTGAGATAATATGACATAGCTGTAATTTATAAGATCTGCAATTCAAAAAAGCCGTAAATTCCGTCAGGGGCCGTCAATTAAAACTTACAAAGAGTATGGTAAGATGACTCCCGACGTGACTTGAAGTGGGTAAAATAAACCTCAGCGAATTAGATCCATGAACAATACATTTGATTCGGATATGGAAATCTCTTGAATACCCAAAATATATCAGTGTTTCTAAATTTGATACCTAGAAATATCAGAATTGTATATACTATATTCGCAGGACCCAAAAATATCATTTCTGACAAATATTAAACCCAAAAATATCACTTTTGGCAAACATTTGACCCAAAAATATCCGACTAACCCCCCCCCGTATGTCTGTGTGCCAGGTGCCCCCCCTGGGCCAGGTGCCAGAACTATCAGTTTTTTCTAGATTTGCGTCTTTAAATATACCACGTCTGCATGATGTATGCGATAGGGGTGCGACATCCCCAACTCAGCATACTGGTGCACTGCTGTGTCAATCAATCGTCCTATTCCTATACTTAGAATTAACTTTTTGTTTAAAAACACCAGCCTAAGAAAAATTGCTTCAAGGTTTCTGCTTGTTTTGACCAACATATCAAAAAGTCCAACCCTAGTGGGTCAAAATTTGCGTATTCAATAGGCCCCCATAGAGCTTAATTAAGAGGTGCATCCACTGATCTATAAAACGACTTTTTTCAGATCAGTGAATGCACCATTTTAGCTCAAAAAAGAAGAAGCTGCTCAAGACAATAAACATTTCAATATTTTGTACCAAAATATATTATTATGCTTTGATTTGTACTTTGTTGAATTGAAAATTTAATGAGCTTGAAAATCATGAAAAAGTACAAAATGAGCTAATTGTATGGAAACTTGGTGAATGCTTTTACAATCGCCCCCTCCAGAAGGTCTCAATCCAATGAGGTGAATTACTAAATTAATAAGCTCCCTGGGGGTAATGCGAGTATAATCCTCCTCCGCAGAACTGATAACTACCATTGTGGCCTCGATACCGGCCATTCCTGGAGCGAACATACTCTTAAGTGCCTAGTTGCTGTCCCGCCCCCCACTTATTAATTTTTGAAAATTTTTCCAACCCCCCTGCTCTTATTAGGGCCCCCTACCAATTGATTTTGGCACTTTTGTGTTGATAACTGTAGTGAAAAAGCGTAACATAAGCTAAATATTGTCGATGATAAATAAAAGCTATATAATAGTGAAATAAGCGTACTGATTTTAAGTGCATTTTGAGTATTTAGTATATGTAACTTCATAATTTTAGACCCCCCCGGCAATTGGAACTCTCCGTCAATTAATTTTGAACATAAAATCCGACCCCCTTCCCCGGAAATTAGGCAACTAAGAGTAGGTCATTTATCAATTCAAATCGATTAACAGGGCAGAAGGAAATTGGAAGGATTTTTCATAAATTTTGGAAGGAATTATTAGTAAAAATAAGGATTTTTTCGGAAATTTGGTTGAGCAAAAAGTGGAAGCACTGGGCAGTAGGCCAGTACTCAAACTCAAACTCAAAACAACTTCCTTTGGGTAGTTGATATAAGGGCTAGGAAAAAGCTAAGTACCAAATGTTAAGAAAAAGACTAACACGGCAAATATGTTGGAAAGACCTAAACGCTATAAACAACCACCCTGTCTAAGAATCTACATTTCAATCATATCAAGCTAGGACAAGAAAAATAAATCGATATTTGCTAGTGGTCTGTTGAATCTTAATCTTCTACTTGTCTTGAATTGATGTTGCTAATCGAGCATTGCTATGCCGAGCTAGAATCTAAGTCTAAAGCAAATGAAGGTCCTGATAATAATCGAAATTTTCTTTCGCATGTCAAGTTAACTGATACGATAATATCTAAGTGACGAGATAATGCCAGCGAAAACGAACAGTTTGCTAAAAGATTTCACTCGTTCCATAAAAAACACTCTAATTAAGCGGCTCAATTTGCCAACAAAAAACAACATTAGGATATATCCAGCCTCAGATGAAGAGCTAGAAGGAAAAACAACGTGCTTTGATAAAAAAATTGAAGAAAAAATGAATTTGTTCTCCTGCTTAAAAAGCAAAGTATGTTGTATCAGAGAATCAACCTTGCTTTCAAATGTATCATGCAAAACAGTTATGAGTACCAAAGTGGTGCTGCAATGAAAATCTACTTTAAAATTTTTTAATTTTGATCCCAGAACCAGAAAGAGCATCGTAAAATACCTCTAAATTTGCAAACGCAGTTAAAGGCATTACGAATTGGCTGAGATATGGCCAGCACAGGTTATTTCCCCGTCAAACCTCTGTAATTTGGTCTTGATTCATAACTTTATCCTTTATCCGTTATACTTAATCCGTTAGCAAACTTAAAATCTTTCATTGGCCATATTTCGCCCAGTTTTGAACATATCTAACTGATTTTGCATATTGCGAGGTGTTTTTATGCTGTTTTTTCAGATTATGTGGTCAAATTTAAGAAATTTAGAAAAAATATTTTTTTATGACGTCACACTTCGGTACTATATTTACAGGTTGAATTCAGAACAACATCAAGAACACCCGTGCCTCAAATCATTGAGAAACAAGAACGCGAGCCTCGGCAGAAAAAAATTATCTGGTTCTTACAAAGAAGAGAGTATTTTTGTTTTGCTTTGGATAGCAGATTTACAGGGATTTGTTAAAAACAGTTACGGTAAATATAATGCAAGGTCTAGTCTCTTAAGAAAATAAAATTTACTAGGCCAAATAGTATTCCAGTCAAGTAATTGAAAATTCTTCCCCCTCACAAACGATTCATTTCTAAATTAAAGATTTCTTAGGTTATTTTTCAACCAGGTTGAATCAATGAAACTGTATTTTTCTTATGAATGGCCATCTTCAAAAAAAAGTTTTTAATATAAAAGGTCAAATCTAGTGATGTTACCACATACCAATCCAAATCACATGAAAACATTGCCTATGTTTGCTGACAATGATAGCAAAAATTGCCAAAACTCACAACTCAACAAAATAAGTAATCTATTGTATGTTTTGAGGTATAAAGTCAAACCTAAAGTAAATTGAATTTTTTGTCTTCCTTTCTAATCAAAACTTTCATGCTACCCTCCCAATAAATTTTCTTGCAGGCAGTAGAAATAAACGGTAGGCAGTAGAAAGTGATTTTGCTATCAGGTATCAAAATAAATTTAAGAATATATATTCATCGATTTACCATTAATAAAAAAAACAACAATCAAAAGGGGAGAGGTTAAGCTACCGCAGCTAGTATAATGTTGATCAAGAAAAATTTATTTAGACATATTTTTCAAAAGAGGAGTTCTCTAATAAGTAAGCTAATCGAGAGAGAGTACCCATTTAGAAAAAAAATTAGAAACCTAACATAGGTTTTTGCCAAACAACACAAAAGCTGAATTCTAATACAGAATTTTAAGGTAGGATAATGTTATAGATCTTCCAAGGATCCATAGCCAGCGTGAATCGTATCTTTCAATTCAAGAATTTTCAGAGAAAAAATTGGTCTCAGAAAGGGCTGGAAAGAAATAAGCCTAAGTACTTTTACCTGCAATAAAAACACAGGTTATAGGTAAATATCACAGGATAGACTCTTAGTTGACAAGCAAAAAGTCAGAGGGGCAGGGAATACAGCATGATAAATTTTTAGTCCATCAATAGGAATTACGGTGAATCAATAGGCATGGTTTTCATAAAATCCCAGATATTAGTTTTATAGATCGTTCAGAAATATGAAAATTCCAGAGAAGATGCTCATCAATTAGAATATCGTAACTAGTTTTCTCCAATTTTAGGGTTGATGTAGTCAAGGATAATTTTTTCTAGGGGAACGAAACAGAACAAAGTTTGCTTTATCAACGCTTAAAACTAATTCGCTTATATCAAGCAAGGAGTTAACTTTTAAGCAACTCTTTTCTTGCTTCATACTCAAGTCTAACTATGTTATTGGACCCATAATAAATATTTGTATCATCTTCACATAGAAAAGAAGCGACTTTGGACACATTTGGTGAACCATTGATATAAATTAGAAAAGTAATGGACCAAGAACAGAACCTTAAGGAGCACCGCTATAAAAGCTTAGAAGAGTAATTATTGATTGAGACATACTGTTGTTACCTAGTAGGACAACGTAAACAAGCGCAGTGAGGTGCCTCTGATTCTATAGCGACTCAGTTTTTGTAGATAAGTATTGTGGTCAACAGTGTCAATCGCTTTTTAAAGATTTTAAAGAAGAGATATAAATTTGTATGCATGAGCTTATCAAAGATCTTACTGAAGGTTGACAGTAGAGATACGTGTCTGTAATTTGAATTTGTTGAAGCATCACTTTTTTCAAAATATCGGAATAACTTAATCAATATTTATTCTATCAGGAAAGATGAAAATTCAGAAATGAGTCGTTTGTGATTATAGATATGAGGGTCAAGAATTTGCAATTACCTGACTGAAATACTATTTGGCCTAGTAAATTTTCTTTTCTCAAGAGACTGGATGATAAAAAACCACCAGGACAGTAGGAGATGTAAAGAAACTGTTATCATTGGAAGTATTTAGAATGCCAGAGGAGGAGAACTGGGGTTTCTTGGAATTATGTTAGAGATCTCATTGCCGTAAATTAGAAATAGATTTATACACATTTCATAAGTGAAGCTATGTATTTCGAGTTACTCTATGTACAGTCGACTCTCGTTATTATGGACACCATCAGGACCAAAATGTTGCGTCCGCAATAACGAGAGTCCGTAATAGCGGGATGAGAAAAAAATCACTAATTTATTGGTTGAAAAATTATTAAGTTTTTTTAATCAATAGCAATCGTGTAATTTTGTTAACAGAGATTTGTAGTGCTGGAGTTTATAAATTTTGTATCATTTTGTAGTTTGTAGTTTTATTGTTGTAAAAAGTACTCTTCAAGTGTCGTCTGGTGTGATTGCTTTTTCAGTGCATGTGCTGCAACTTTACTACTGAGGCATGCGAAATCACTTGCTATCGTCGCAAGACCACGCTGGATGAGAAAAACTTCTATGTCTCTCACCGACCTTGCAACATCGTGATAGCTCTTCAAGCTGGTGATCGGAGTGACTTCATGTATATCATCATTATCATCATCATCATCATCATCATCATTATCATCTGATATAACCACTTCCACTTGCCCATTTATCACTAAAGGATCTAGTAGTTCCTTTTCATTATCCATGCAGTAGCATATAGGCAGCTCGGTATCTGATAGCAGGTATGTATATATGGTGGTTTCGGGTGAAACTTCTTTAATTAGATTTTCGAGATCTTCATCGATGTCATCGAGGTCACTGAAGGGATCTGCCTCCTCGTCTTCTATCAGTGTATTGCTGGAAATTAACCCAGAATTGAAACACTTACTGATGGTTGTCACCTTAACATTATGTCATGCTTCCCCCACCCAATTCATTGCCTGTAATACGTTGAGTGATTTGCTGCTCTCTGAGGCGTTCCTTTCACTTGAGGTCATTGCGATGATGAAGCGTAGCAAAAGCTTTCTATAATGAACTTTGAAGTTTTGAATAATGCCGAGATCAAGAGGTTGCAACTCAGATGTGCAATTTACAGGAAAAAACACGAGCTTGACGTTCGAGTAGCGTCCCTTCAAATCATACGGATGGCAACCAGCTGAGTCGAGAAACATTCCCTGTTAAATTGACTCAAGATCTTATGCAGAATGTCGGAGGTCATCCATGCATTTTTTTGGCTGTAATATTGACAAGGAAGGTCCTCTCTGTGGACATTTTTCAAGCACCTTGGACTGGCATACTTTCCGATAACTATTGGTTTCTTCTTTTCTCCAGTTGCAGAGGTCATCAGGGCAACAGTCAGACGTTCTTTGGATTTCTTACCACCTTTACATTTCTTTGATTTGGCAAAAAGGCATTTGTCTGGAAGAGCACGATAGATGAGGCCAGTCTCATCTAAGTTCCAAATGTCTTGCATTTCATAACCAGAAATGATTGAGCCAAGCCGCTCTTTCCAAGACTTCACTGTATCCACTGCAACATCAGCAGATTCTCCGCAAACTTTGTGTTGTGAAAGATTGTGTCGTTCTTTGAATCTTGTCAACCAACCACTTGAGGCTTTGAAATCAATGTAACCTAGCTTTTCGGCAACTTGAGATGCAAACTCCTGGATCATTGGACCATCAACTGGAATTAGTTGATCATTCTTGTTTTTATACCACTCCCAGACAGCATCGTTTAAATCTGAAAACTGAGAAGTACGGTTTCGTTTCTTTCCTTGAGGAAGTCCTTTTTCATATTGTTCTCTTACTGATACCTTGTTTTTGATGATGTTGCTTACTTGCGTCTTTCCACACATGTATTTCTCGGCTAATTTTCTTATTCCTAAAGAACCATTAGTACTTCAACGAGAACCAGAAAATGGTAGAGACAGAAATGCTGTGGCAATTATTGAAGAAAAAGGGCGAATTGTTGGGCACATCCCCTTTGGATTATCTCAAATTGTTTCTTCTTTTTTGAAACGAGAATACAACAGTGGGGTTGCAGTTATTTGTGGCAAGCGAGTAAACAGAGGGGCTGGATTGGGAGTGGAGATTCCAGTTATGTTTAAATTTTATGGGAAAGCAGATTTTTTAGAAAGACTCGATATCCTGATCAAGAGCAGTGAGACTGCAAAAAAGGCGTTGCGTTTAGAATCAGAAGGGATATCAAGCGAGGAGTCATTGAAACGACCACCTGAAAACGCAAATCTGTCGCTAAAAATCAACACACGGCTAAAATTCAGTGGAAATAGATTGTATTTGTCTCCGCATTTCCGTAATAGCGAGAGTCCGTTATAGCGCGAATTACGTTCAGTCATTTCTTTGTATTTCAGTCGGGGATTTTTTGTGTTTTCGTAATAGGGGGGTGTCCGTTTTATCGGGGTGTCCGTAAGGCGAGAGTTGACTGTGCTATAAATGGTTACGATCATTGACTTACCTAGAGGTAAACATGACAAGTTTTGAAAGCCATGGATCATCAACAAATATCTTGCAGTCCATTTGGACTTAGACATGGATCAAAACTCATTCTCAAAAGTATTTCAATCAAAAAACACATTTTATTATAATGATTTAAGAGGTATTGAAGCAGTTTAGATTAAATGTTTACCATATGTTCTTCTTCGTGTTTTGAAAAATTAAAAACAACCAAGAAATTATTAGAAAGAAATTCAAGAAATTCATTGCAAAATAAAAATTATCCTGAGCATGAATTCAATTGACTTTGGAAAAGAAGCAAACAGGTAGTTCCGATTTTCAGTAGCAAGCAGGGAAGCTCCATTTTTTGCAAACCTACTAGGGCTGACACAAGCAAATTATTTAAGTTATGCGTAAATGAACGAAATGTCTGGACCTATAAAAACAGCAAATCATTTCAACTAAAAAATTTCTAAAAAACATTCTAATGTTCCTAAATTCAATGACACCAGTAGCTCACTTTTAAATATAAATTGATTGAAGTCAAACTTGTTATAAACAAGCCTTAAAAAGATTAGTGCCTTAAAATCCTAACATAGCACAAAAAATGTGAAACAAAAAAGTGGAGTGAAAAAAATATTCCTTTTTGTAGTTTTTTTTAAGAAAGAAGGACCTATCAAATGTCCGAAATGATTTTATACCGTCTATTTTTTAGCATAGGCAAATCTAATTGTTCCGTTCTTTCTAAGAATTGTCAGTGAAAAATCAATTAAAGCATGATAAGGCTTCGATAGAAGAAATAAGTATTATATAGTGTTTAGGTGGTTTTTAGACAGTTAACAAAATATTCATCAAACAAACATTTAAAACAAGCAACGAATTTGATATTCTAAGCAAAGAAAAAACCGTGAACTTATCTGACTCAAGGAAAAATTCCAGAACATTTTCAAGATTCGGCAAAACTTCATACTGTTTAAAGTGAATAGTTGTCAGAGAATTTTAACTAATTATTACTAGTTCACGCAGATAGCAACAAAACACTCAGGCTTCTGCAGATTGCTTCCATCAATTCAATTCCATCATGATGTCTCCTATCTCTTTTTCCTTCATTTTCTTGTTCATTCATTACAGACAGCTAATTTTCTCTGGTTTTTGTTGTGATTTATTCAAATTCCCATGCTATGAGGTCTGAAGATACTTTAGCACAGGAAAAGTTGTCGAAAACTTCTCCTTTGTGGATCTTCTAGTATAATGTAAAACCCTGCAGTCATTTTCCAGGCATTATTTTTGGGGGAAACAGTGATTCAGGGAAAAGTGAGGCACAGATTTTGTAACACATTTTCTATTTGTATAAAAAAATAATTATTTCTGTAAAAAGTATCTGAAATCAAACTTGCATGCAAAGAGGCTGAATTTTTAAACTTGGGAGGCCAGGTACCATCGCTTTTTTTTTATTTTCGGAGAACATGGGCAGTCATGAATATCTGACATATCAAAATAAGAACTGATAAGATATACAATGAGTTTTCTGAGAAAGAAAATAATAAATGATCGTTCTTATATATGTAGATCAAACATTCTGTATATAATTAAACTTCATCATTCATAGGTCCAGTCATAATTCACTGGTTAAGATGAATCAGTGGAAGTATTGATGCCTGCTGCGAGCTGTTGTGAAGGCCATAGAGGCAAGAGCCCTAAGAAAGATGAAAGACCACACATTTGCAAAGCAAGAAAACACTAATTCCACAAAGATTGACAAAGACTGACACACATTTAATTTCTCGAGCCTTTAATGTTTCTTGACTCATTGTTAAGATGAAAGTTCATATTTTGCTACTGTCCTGTAGGGAATCAAACAAAGTATCAAAATGCAAGCTTGGTAGGTGCTCCTCAAATTCTTGCAAGAAAGGCATTCTTTTCTTTTTTAATTATTTATTAATTTAAAAATTTCGAGCCTAAATATCGATATACAATCTATTCTAACAAGAAAAGGACTAGGTAAGTGGAACACTGTCACTCCATGATAGTGATTTTTCTTGACCAAGCCATTCGACTAAGGCATATTGCCTAACTTTCTTTTGAATTTATGTTCAGTGCTAGCAAGAAATCACAATAACTAACTTGTTTTCAGATTTTTTTTGGGCAAGTGGGCCCCCCATTTGATGATAGCTCAAAAATTGCTTCACCAAGGACAGGTTGTAGAAACAGTATTTTCGTTTAACTATAGTATGACCATGATTCATTTTATGGCGATTTTATGGATGAATTATGCTTTTTGAATCAAATGGTTAACTGAAAATGTATAACAAAACTATATCTCTATCAAGGTACAATATTGAAGGAACATGTCGTGGAGGAAAGGAATTTTGACGTCAAACAGTGGCAGTTCAGTGCAGGGATGTCACTTCATACTTTTTGTTGAGGAGGGGGAGGGATGGGGGTGACTGCATTTTTGCCTTGCCAAAAGTTAAAAAAGAAAAATGAAAACTAAAGAGGGTTTGAAGTTATATTATTGTTAAAGAATGATAAATTACGTTGTTTTTTTGTTCTATGACGTCACATTTTTGCTTTGACAACTTTTTGATAAATTGCTTAAGACCACTGTCAGGTTGTGTGTGGTTCTCCTAGGAAAAACTTATCTATGGCCTATAGAAGAGAAATTTGTTTCAAATATAAGAGACACAGCTAATTTTTTAAAAAAATATTTTCAATATGCATACTATTATCCCACTGAACTCATGGTGGGTTACGCTAGATGTAAAATTGCTTCACTTAAACATTTATCAAGGTTAGGATAGCGGAGTTTTGTCACGATGCCATAAAAATCATTGTGAGAAAACCACCCCACTGCATACTCTAAACTATACCCACCCCACTGATCATAAGCCCCAAAATGCTCCACCTGGTGAGGATTCAAATTTCAAAGCTCAACATGTATATTTATGTGCCTATATATAAAATTATAGGTATAAGACAGTATAGTATGTCTGTTCTGACACATGCTCCAGATGGTTGGACACACTACTTTAACAGCAAACTGAAATCCAGGTCTCTCCCGGCACAAGGCAGTGTTGCATTGTCCGGTTGGTAATGCATCTATTTTTTCCTGAGTTTCCTGACAAGCTTTTGCATCGTTTTAAAAGAGGCACAAATCTCCACCACACTTAAATCTGAAGTGAAAGAATCAATTTAGAAAGCTATTTCCTACAAACCAAACTATCACTGACAATCCCTATTTCGTGTCACTGGCAGTCGTTATTGTGTTACTTTTAGAACAGACAATTTCCAAGCATAAACTACCTTCTCGCTACAGTTATATGAAAAAAACATCACATCAGATCAATTGGGGGAAGATACCTGCCTTGCCATATCAGTTCTGCCCTGCAAGAAGGCCATGTTTTGTGGTTAGGGGTTAACCACACCCCATACCCCCCCAAGCGACGCCCCTGGCTCAGTGGATGCCGGAACGACCAAGAACAACGGGGGCAGGCCTTAAGTAAAAAGGCATTTGGGAAAAGTCCCAGCTTCTACTAATTCTAATGTAACCGTCATTTTATTTGTAAACGGGCGAAGTTCTCATAAGAAATTCTTTTCACAAATTTCGAGAAATTTTGTCATGAATAAGTCATTAACGGCGGGATTTCATGCAAATCTTTTTTACATTTACGAATGGCCGACGTCAAGAGCATATTTAAGAATAGGTCACTTTCGCCTTCTTGCCCCTCCTATCAAAGGACAAAAGGACGGTTGCCTCCGCCCCCTTTAATGAGTCAATGATTTTCAACTCAGTTGGAGTAAAGCAAAATAAAGAAAAACGTCAAAAAAGATATACAGATAAACAGGATTTTTGGTTTTTTTATGATTTTTAGAGGAGTTGCATGGGATTTTTTGAAGTGAAATGCCCCTCGATTTGAATGTTTGCCCCTGCTCTTGCTGGGTGGTACCCTGGGTACCAGAGTCATATAATTCTAGCCTGCGTCAAAGACCATAAGCATGGAAATAGAAGATAGAAGCGGAAAAGTGGAGGGGCATATGTATTCGTACCTTCAATCCTATTTATTCCCGTTCTAACAGAATTGAACGATTTGTACATATTGTAAACCATTATCATTTGATTTCTGTTTTTCTTTTTTAAATTGTTTTTTTATTCTTACTGTTATTATTCAAACAAAACTAATATCAATTTATCATCATTTCGCGTCAAATTGGGCACATGGTATGGCTCTGAAAGGTCCTTCATGATTTTTTTCTATGTTTCTATCAGCTGATCTTTTATAACTTCTTATGTTGTTCCTTTTAATGTAATTTTTATTGTTATTAATGATTGTATCTTAACAACCAACATGTCGTATTAATTGATTTGATGCTGGAAAGAAAGTTTTGATTTGATTTGATTGGATTTGATTTGATTGGATTTGATTTGATATCTCGCAAAACACTCGGCCAGGATTTTTCGCTGGGGATGATAGGTAAATATGGAAAGGGAAAAATCAAATTTTTCTTGTAATGAAAGGGAAAAGGTAGAATTTGCAAGTCGGTAAATCAAATAGGTAAATCGGGGGTCGAATAGGTAAAAACTTCCCGTATTGTTACGTTGTTCTCGAGAGTGTCTTGACACCTGAGGACATAAAACCTCAGCTTGAAAAGCGCATTGCGTCGCAACTTTTTTAACAGTTCAAAGGGCACGTATGGATTACCACAGCTATTATTTCTGAAAACAGTGACACTGTCATGGTTAGTGACGAATTTAGCTTGACCTGACTCATGTGTCCAAATATACATTCCAAAGTGACGTTAGGTCTTTGTTAGTATTCCGAGTTGGCGTATTGTACGGCCATTTAAATCCCAAGGAACAAACAATCAGATTTGATGTCGATATAATAGCAGGTCTTTCCGGATAACAATAAACCCATCAACTTCAAATTATGTAAATATTGCCTAGTGGATTCAAAGGCTCTGTTTCGAATTAAATGTGGCCTAGGCCCAGTCGTCCAGCCAAGAAAACAACGCGTGAGAATGAATAATGCAATGGTATAATCCTGTCCAAGAATTTGAATCCAACTTAGTGTGTGAGCAATAGTTACGATGGGGGAGACTGCGGGTGAAAGTCAAGAGGTAAGAAACCATTTGTTTGACAGATTTACTAATATTCCTTCAATTCCTTCAAAAAATTAAAGAGTTCTACTTTGAGTTTTTTTGTTTATATAAACAAATGTGTTTTTCATTCCACAGCGCCTACCGCTTCTTGTTCAGCTGATATACGGGACCTACCAAGATAAGAAAACACAGGTTTGTGGAAATAGTCATTATCAACTTTGCACTGGTATTTCAGTTCAGTTTGCGGGGCAGGCCACGACGTTATGGGTCTATGATTGCCGATCAGGAAATGAGTCTAGAGGCAAAAAGGCAATAACTCTTCAAGTATTAAATCTCGTAGCAGCGAACTTGAAGAATAGAGAAAGCAGAATCCCGGAATGTCTAAAAGTTTTTCGTACCCAGTGGCCGCAGCCAAAGTGTTTGTTACTGGATACCCTTGAAAGATCCTTCCAAATGGAACTAGGAACTGTCTTGATTCAACCTAAATACTCATATTTTAGCTGAACGAAATATATTTTCAATTTGTCAAGCAAAAACAATGCCAAAAATTTATGTGTTTTCAGAAACAAATTAGTGTTCAAGAAAGTGTTGCCTCCGGACATTAACACAAGGGCTTGAAACAATGTTAAGGCGGAGTTGGGGCGCGATACTTTCGTTTGTTTTGGGGGTATTGTTTTCACTGACTTTCATTACAAATTCAAGGCTTGTCTTGGAAATGAGGAAACGCTATGTAACGAAACTTTTCAGAAAACCAGAAGAAAGGAAATGCTCAACAGAGGGACCTACTTAAAAAAAGTCAAGGAGAAAACCCTTTTTGAAAAATTTAGCTTAAATCCACAGCAATCTTTGTTTTAGTCATAAAGCGAAAATGTGATTATATTTAAATTTATTAAACCTTTCTTGAGTTCAATAACCATTATTGAAAACATGAACGTGAGAACACACGTTTTATTATAAACGCGAGAGCACACTTATTCTAATCCCTGTCGTGTAAAGCCCTAGCAAAACGTCTAAACATTTCATTAAACATTTCACTCAGCTTTTGTTTAGCCATTTTGCCACCCTGTTTAGTGTTGTTTTGTCGTGTTGAGTGTTGTTGAGCAAAGTTTGATCCCGGTCAAAAATTTTTAGCGTTGTTTAGGGTTGTTTTGCAAATGTTTAGTCGTTTTGCCACCAATTAAACATTTGTTGTGATCGCGCAGGCGCTCTAGCTGTGGAAATAAAAAGGTTTTCGTCTGTTTTCGTTGGTTTTCCTGTCCCAACGTTACCCTAAAAGCCTTTATGAGACATCTGCGTATCTCGTTGTACGCCACTGTGTCTTCTTTAACAGTCAATTTTGTTGTCAATGTGCTAAAAAGTCTTTTCTTTCCCTTTCGCTTCATCCAATTCTTATTTTTATTCATTGCTTGTGCATGCAACAAAATAAACCAAAAGCAAACTTCGCTCAACTTCACTAAACAAAAGTTGTGTAAAATGTTTAGCGACATGTTTAGTCGTTTTGCCTGGGCTTAACACACGGGATCTCATCAAATCATGGACCCAAAACACCATGTCCGAACACATGAAACTCTTATTAACTCGGCTACATAATTTACTTTAACTGATACGAGATGATATGAGCGACCATCTTGCACGTGACCTCATGCTATGTTTCAAGGTTGTCAAAGAATTGATTCATTTGGGGTCTCTCCCTCTTATGACGTCACTTGAAAATCAGAAGTTCGGAAAAGTAAGCAATCCACTATCAATCCTTAGTATCAAAGCCTTAGTGTTAGGAGATGGGCGTGGTTATGATACTTCCATCAGAAACTAGAGAGGTGGTCATGGGTCCCTACATGATTTCATGTCACTTTCCACCTGATATACTCTTTTTCATACAAAAATCATTATACTGAGGATCAGCCTGGCTGTAAGGGCTTGACTATTCGTGACTATTCCCATCTTCTTGTCAAGCTAATCGAACTTTTGCACTGTATAGTAGAAAAAGTCTTGGTTGCACCGCTGCTTTGCAATGATATTCTAAAAGTTCACTTGAACACATACGTTAAGGAAGTTTGAATTATATCGTAGAAAATTAAGAAAGCAAAATCAAAAAGCCATTTCTGTCAATAATTCTTTTCACTTATCGTAAAAAATGCTTTCTTATCAACGTTACCATTAGCAATGATGATATATATTTTCTAGGAAGGGAAAGGATTGGCTCATGATAGCGGCAGTGGCGCTCCTTGTACGAATTGTGGCACAGAATGTAGCGGCTTTGATCTGCACTTCTGGAGGTAAAACTTTCTCTCCTTTTCAAACAATTACCTCACTTTTTTGACTAAAATTGTTTTCAGGGAATCTCACTTTTAAAATTTTTTTGGTACCTATGAATAGTTTTGTTACTGAAGCACAAGTAGAGATAGAATTAAAAATCAAAATGTTTCTGGTACGTTTCGATGCACGGCTATGATAATTTGAAGTTTTCAGTTATCTAATTTGTCAGGTATTGTTTTTTCAGGAAAGTTTGCAAAAATTGTGGATGTCGTCCTCAGGCTCATGACATTACAGTTAATGAAGCAGTTCACAAGGAAATTGTCAAAGAACTTTTTAATGATTCAGGGAGAAAAGTGAAAGGGTCGGGGTCAGGTTCAGGGTCAGTGTCAGGTTCAGGGTCCCAAAGCGATGAAGAACCTTCTGTAGAAAAGAGAGAGAGGGAGCTCGTAAGCAAGTCAAAAGTTGCAGCTTCTTCTATACCGGAAATAAGAATAGAGACAGTTGACTTGGATGGAGATCGTGAGAAACCTAAAGATGAGCCTAAAAGTAAGACCAGTCAAAGCCCAAATGTTCGACAAAAAGCAACTGTATCCAGTTATTTCGCGCCGGAACGCAAATCAGTATCGTCCAAAGTTGAAAAACCATGTTCAATCAATGGTGCTACAAGGGATAGTTCTGTGTCTTTTCAAAAAGCATCAGAGCAAGCCAGCATTGCCACAGAACCTAAAATTCCAGAACCACGTTCCGTTGGAAATGAACCCAAAGTACATAGCGACCCAAAAGTTGCAAAACAAAGGAATCCAGAAGCCGTTCCTGAGCCACCTCCTAGAAAAGAATCATTTATTGAAGTCGAAAGGCAGCGAAGGCTACTTAACCAGTTACCGCCTCAAGATTTCGACCCAAAGTTTTGCAGCACCTTGAACAGGAAGCAAAAGCAGGCAATGAACAAAATGAGTGACATCAAAAAGCAAGCTGCTGGTAAAGGAAAACTGTCAGACAATGACCCAAATAAACACGTAAGAAACATCTATAAAATTTTGAGCTCTTCACGCTTAAAAATCACCTGGTTACGTATTTTGAACTGATTGAACTGAACAGAAGCCTAGGCTAGGACAGTCTCTCTAAAAACCCGGTTATATGTTTTTCTAGAAATGTTAATTAGTCAGCTTTCAAAATTACTTCTGACGATATTGTATGGCTAAATTTCAGAACGTTCTAAAATCACAAATGGAAATAATTCATTGCTATTGTCCGGAAAAGTAATCCATAGCTATCCTCTAAGACTTGATGGAAACTCCTAGGCAATAATATCTTTTTATGTCTCTGCATCATCTTCTTTCTGCGATTTCTTATCTAACTAATAGCATGTGCTCTTTCCATACGAAGGTCTGTGCAGGTTGCAATGGCGAGATAACAAGCGGAGAGAAAGGTGTCAGTTCTACACGGGAAAAGGAGCTGATATTCTGGCACGAAGATTGCTTCAAGTGCAACTTCTGCGAAGAAAAAATTGTTGATTTCATTTATTTTTGGCATGAAGACAATATTTATTGTGGAAGGCACTTTGCAGAGAAGTTTAGGCCAAGATGTTCGGCTTGTGATGAGGTTTGTGATCATATGAAAACAGATTTTTTACTGCTTCATCTTTTTGTCAGTGGTCTCAAACCTTTTGTTCCAAGATATGCATGTATGAACAAACATTTTATGAACTTCAAAACGAATCATAACAGTGTCTGCAATAGTTGTGATAAATGTGTCTGCAATCATCATTTACTTTCTATGCGGATGCTGGAAACCACCCAACTGATACTTGCAGAGAACTTCACGTTCATAATTTCCATCTCAGTGATTAAGGGGTATGATGACTTTTTTGACAAATTTAAGGGAAATAACACGCTTTATTCAATAAAAAGGATTATGAGGAACAAGAAAGCGTTGTTTGTAACAGAGAGGATTCTTTTGAAACAGAAGATCTTCCACGGGGCTAGCAGCTCATGAACCACTAGACTTGAAGAAATTTAGGTGAAAGTTTTTTATCAAAATTAAAATGAAAGTTGACGTGAAAAATGACTTTCAATTGATATTCACTTATCATTTGCTTATCTATTTAGCCAAATTTGCTTTACTTTGCCTAGCTTCAGAAGTTTTGCATTGCTACCATCATTTAATTGCAGTTAATTTACGCGGATAAGTACACGAAAGCAGAAGGCAAGGCGTGGCATATGGAGCATTTTACCTGTTTCATATGTGACAAAAATCTGGCCGATACAAATTACATCTCACACAAGGGACAACCGCACTGCATGACGTGCTATCATTTCAAGATTGCAAGCAAGTGCGGGTCTTGTGGACTGCCAATTCAGGTAGGAGAGGAACGCATTTCGTACGAGAACAAGCACTGGCACGCATACCGAGAATGCTTCTTTTGTCGAGGCTGCAACAAAGATTTGGTTGATGCTGGATTTCTACTGGTAGAAAACACCGTCTACTGTTCCTCAAAATGCTCCAAAAGAGGCCTGGCCTCGTAGAAAAACACAAGAGACGAAAACTATGACATAGCCATTAATTGTGGCAGTCATTTAAATAGAAAATGTGTCTAGTGACTATTTTTAGAAGTCGTGGACCTTTGCATCTTTAATTTTTGAAATCTTTTACTGGTTTGATTGATTTAGCGAACTTATATTGATAGCTTTGTTAATTCATAGTTTGTATCCATCTATTTACAACATCACTCAAAAAATAACGTTCACGAATATGGCTTTTCATTAGCTCCAAACCTCTTTAGAATTTTAGCTGCCTTTTCTTTTCTGTCGTTTAGAAACAATGATTTTTCATGAAATTGCCGATAATAATTCTGCATATTTTGCGCTGGCAATTCATCGCACGCTAAACGTAGAATTTTCAGGCCGAAACTACCCGGATAATCTTATCAAGGACACAGTCACATCATATCCTTATCTTCAAGTGATAAGCAGTCGCTAATGGGTAAAAAAACTAGGAACCAATCAAACGGGCAATTCTTTCTCCACACCTGGATATGAGTTATCCAATGACGATGACAGGAGTGTCAGGCAAAAAATACTACAGTATGAAGATACCAAGTCTGCTTTGCTTTTTCGTGCTATCTCTAAATTTTGCGATACCAAGGGCCTAAAAGATAAAATTATCAATCCTCAACAAAAGAAATATCATGTAAAGTTTCCTTGGGATGTCTGTCGATATTAAAGCTAAAATCTTGGCTGATATTTTCAACATACAAAGACTCCAGGGAACATTCTCCATCAGGGAATCTTCTTAAAAAGGCGACATCCACTCCAGTCTACCCGCTATCGACCAATAAACGTTTTAAAGTCGCTTTTCGAAGTTTTTGGAACGGCCGTAGAGACTGAGCTACCTTTTTCCAAGAGCAAAGATTTTAAATTTTATTGCGTGCTTGGTTGATTGGTTAAGGAGGAGGTTGATTGATTTTATTGCGTGATTGGTTGATAAATTTTATTTTATTGGTTATTGGCTGTAAAGAGTGGCAACCAATCACCAATTCCATTATCCTTTGCCATTTTAACCATTGTCCCCGCGTATGGTTGTTGGTTTGCAGTCAAAAGAAAATGGAAAAAAGTTGAATAAAGTGCATTACGTTAGGCTGATCAAACTTTTCACATTCAATTGAATACAATCTCTTGAAATATTCAAAAAATAGCTTTAGTTTTAGTGTTTATGAAGGTGAATTTAATAAAAAAAATACAGCCTTTATTCTTTAAATTGCATCCTTATAATATTCCTAAAGTTAAAGCTTCAACTTATGGGATCAAATCATCCAAAAATGTACATCAATTCAGAATCCTAGTCACCAACTGGCACTGGCTTCGTACGCTTGTTCAATCTGCAACTGATAGTATCAATGACGCAATCTTCTTTATTGCTTCATGTTAGTTTGTGTTAGTATCCTTAACGTTTAAGAGTGAGCAACTTGTAGCAAGACCATTTAAACTCGAGTTAGAAGAAAAATCTACTACAAGAATCAAGCAAATGCTATCAGCACCCACAACAACATCAACAACATCACCCTTTCTAATGAACGGTGAATCGTTCTTCCAGGCAAAATACCATTTATAAATCTTCACGGCTTAGAAAAGATATGATATTTTGAAAAAAGGTCTTTTGATAGAGAATCCAGGTTGGAATATGAACATTTAAAGATAGGCCGCTTCTTAGATAGAGTAAATCTACCATTTTTTGCTGTATTAAAGTGCTGTTGGAAGTGCCAGGGCCCCTACAAACATTTCAAGATGGGAGCTCGAGCCCAAAGCCCCTACCTTGCTGGCACCTGTGGGCACTTTTCATTTGTGGGCACTTTTCACTTGTGGGCACTTGTGGATAAATCAGCAATTTGCAGTAGATATGGGAACCTTGCTGCCCCGGAAAGCATGCTTTGTTTTAAAAGTAATATTGTTTAGGTCAGAAGGGAACTTTTTTAAGCGACAACGTCTTTTTATATCTTATAAGCTCGATGAAGGGTTTTATATGATCTGATTTTGATTCAGCCAACCGAATGTGAATTTCTGCGTTGTTTCATATTGAAAATTCCCAGACACATTTCTGCCAGAGGGAAAGGAGAGTCAGTCAACAAAAGACAAAGAATGTGAACAGATGACACTACCCACAACACAAAATAGCCATGTTTAATATCTGTCTGTGTTGATAGCAAGCCAGATATGGGAAACGGACCATTAAGTAATTTTAGGCGTGTATCCTAGGACTTAGGCCTGGGTTCATAAGGTTGCACCTTGAATTAAAGCCTGGTCTTAAGAGTATCGTATTAGCCTTTTATAAACTGAAGGATCCAGACAAGCGAACAAACGAAGCGAAAATTAAAGACAAGGATTAGCAAGATGAGCAGCGTCGAGGTGAGATTCCTTTTTAACACGATTGTCAGTTTATATGCTTTCGCGGAAGTAGATGATTAAGTTGTTAAATTTGATCCTAGCCCTGTGTTTTAATCTTAAATGTTGTTTACAGTCTCGGTTTTGAATCCATTTTAAAGAAGAGTGGGGAGACTATGGCAAAACCGTAAACAACGAAACTATACGTACATAATATGAATAGCATTTTGCGTCATCATCGAGACCGCAACAGCATTCAATCATTCTTTAAATGGGTCATTTATCTAATATCTATCTTGTTTTAACTGATCACATCACTTGTTTGTAATTTTGCCTGCCTTACAATATGCTCCGAGAAAAGTCCTAGAAAGAAGTGTAGCATTACGATGTACCACACCATTGCATTTCAACGTATTGTTCCCGTCTGTGACAAACCATAATCATGGTGAAACAATGATTGTGGTCATTATAATCATGATCGCAATCAATCATTAAAACAATAATCATGATCGCCTTGATTTATTACTGGTCACTCTGGTCAGTCATTAATATGATAGTGATCCTTTTAATCATTTGCCTCAATGAACGGAGATAATCTATTTAAGTGATTACGATTTTCAAAGGTGCCACATCTAGCGTCCTTAAAGACGTTTTAACTTGCCGAATACTTTTATCTTATCACTGGTCGCTCACGTTATGACATTTCATCATATATTTAGTATGAATTTATATAAATATATCTTTCTAACAGTTAATTTAATCAAAATACTGCTCTATTAACAATTGCTATTTCTCATTGTCCTAAACAGCAAAAGTCACTTGGCCATGAGAAACATGCTGGAGCAGCCTGTAAGAAATGTGGACCAAAATGCGAGGGACTAGACCTACATTTCTGGAGGTAAACATTTACGCACAAAGTACTTCCAATTCCAATTTTGCTTAGTGTCCATTAGGGCTTCACATAAACTTAGTACCTGCGAATGATCAATGCCCTTTCACAATTTAAAATTGCTCAAAAATAACTAAGCATTGTTTCTTACCAGACAAAAACTTTAATTCGAGGTCTATTTGTAATATTTGTCTGTTTTAGCACAGCCTTAGGGCTCTCACCAAGCTTTTCAGAAATGAATTTTCCTGACACGATCAACATTTCCGCATAGATTTCCTTTCTTTTATTGTATTGATCGTTCATTCCTGATTTTCCTACTTTGACTTATTTGAAGCATAACCTCAACATTATAATAAGGCTAATATGGAGCTAAGATGATAATGGTTTTCAGTATTATTGGTGAGATATTTTCCTCATTGACCAAGATATTAAATTTGTTTTTATCGATAAGAACCTCCTAATTGTTTGGCCAAAGCGTTCCTCAAAGCCATATTCTGCATCTCTGAGCCAGATTACTTGTGTCTCATCAGTTGGTTATTCCAAATCCTTAAAGCGTAACCACTCGATTAGAAAATGTCTACTACATTCTGCATTCTATTATTCTAATTTCCAAAGAAAAGTGTGCAATAATTGCAAGTGCAAGCTTGAAGAGCATGAAGTTGAAATACCGTCAAAAACACGTGTGCCGAAGAAGTTTGTCAAAAAGAAGATCATTGTAGACGAGGGTGGCAGACCTAATTACCCTGACAAGAGGCTATCGCTGGTTGACCCAACGCCACAAGCTGCCTCGAGTCTCTCATCTTTGGAAGATCAGAATGACGCTGGCTTCCCGCCTCCATTCGATGGACTAGGCATGAATGAAGCACATAATGGCATGGAAACGAGCAACCCATTGCCAGATAATGTGAGGAACAGTTTTACGTTTTTACCAGATGGAGCAAATGAAAAGACGGTAAGTAGTGGTATGTTCAATCCATTTTGAATAGTTCAAAATTGCCAGCTTAAATAGCTCAACGAAAATCCATCAGAACCTGACAACTATACTAATCAATGTACGCTTCGTTTATTCCAGGTATCAAAGTACCTCGCAGCAATACCAGCCGAAAAGGCCCCAACCAACGAGGAAGGATGTCAATACCAGAAGGAGCAGATGATGCAGCAGCTGCCAGCACATGATTTCGAGGAATCAATGCCAGATTACGATTTGACAGAGGAAGAAAAGGAGAAGATGATGAATTTCAAGAAGAAGAGAGATGAAGAGGCATCAGGCCAAGGGGCCATTAGGGAGCAAACCGAGTTGATTGCAGCTCCTCCTGTACGTTGTTCATCTATTTTATGTCAGTAGTTTGTGATGTTCTGATATCATTGATACACTGAAGGCCTAATTGTAACTTTTATCATGAATCTTTGGCTCTGAACAAGTTGCTACCCCCTTGTATTTTAATCGAGAAAAAATAAAATGTCCCTCCTACATGCATCTTTTATGTATCATTTTTGCAGCCTAGAGCCAAGTCGTAAATCTAGCAATAAATTTACATTCATAAAGAATGATATATCATAAAAGAAAATTTATATCTAAGGCAAGTAGCGGAAACTCAGAAAAAAGGAAAGTTCTCCGAGCAAAAAAACTAATGAAAAATTAAAATTAAAAAATTCAGAACACCAAAATTTCTGTTTTTGGGATACAAAGATATATTCTGAGACAATAAAATTTTTTCAAACGCTTAGACTCAGGCTCTCATATTCTTTACAACCAGTTTCATTAGTCTTTTACCTTCTGTAGAAGATATTGTAGTAAACAACGAAGCAGTAACATTTCTCAGCTTTAGAAATTACATAGAATACCCAAAATGTTGCGGCAACAAGTAATAAATTTCGACCTTTGTCTAATTATAAGAAAGGATATTGAGTAGATAATAAACAACGGCTACTAATTTGGATTGGGTCTTTACGGTAATTCTTAAAAAACACGGAAACAGCGTATCATAAGATTAAAGTCTTATATCATATAGCGTTTTGATTTATTTCATAAAATTTCACATTAAACTAATTTTTCCATTGTGTTTTTAGAGCTGTACAGAATGCGAGAAAGGGTTTCAAAGTGGCGGTGTTGTGATATTTGCCAATTTACTAGGCCCTGAGAAATGCTGGCACCCAGAATGCTTTGTGTGTCAAACGTGCAAGGAGATTCTCGTTGATCTGATCTACTTTCATCACGAAGGAAGTATTTACTGTGGAAGGCATTACGGAGAAATTCTAGGAATAAGATGTGCAGCATGTGATGAGGTAATTACTCTTAAAACGTGAATGCATTCTTCGTCTCTATGAAAGATGGCTCAGTTCCTTGCCAGTTTTCTACTATCTCTACTATCAGTTTTGCTGATAAGATTGACTACAAATTCGAAATAAACTCGGGTTCTACTTAACAAATGCAAATTTTTGACAAGAAATGAAAGGTCGTTTACTACACTGTGCATTACTATGCACGTCACAGCCTAGTTCTGGAAACTTCTCTAAAGTTTATTGTACATTTTCTCGATTCAAGGTTATGATTGACCAGTATACTTTTAGCCAGGATACCCTAGTCCACACTACCTGGGGCTGTATTGTAAATTTTATGACGATATGCTGTATTGCAACTCTTCACATATGATATGCTTTGGGTACATATATAACTTTCCAGCATTCCCATTGTTTAGAAGTTTGAAAGATTTTTGCATTTGAAAAAGGTCATCTTACATACGTGCAGTAAATCTAGGAAGGTCATGATCAGAAATTCGTTCTCAAGAGATATATTTGGTTTTCAAGACAAATTTTACAAAAACCTACTGTTGTTTCTTTCTGCTGCGTGCATGATTATAAAGCATGTACAAAGGAGGTTGAGCCAGAGAAAAGATAAAAACAATTCACATTGTTTGGCGGTACAGAACTTGAAAATGACTTTGAAAAAGCAAATATTTCATAACATATTGGCTAAAAGCTTTTTCGTCTGACACTCCTCAGAGCATTAAACGTCAGAAATGTTTGCTTTTCTTCAAAGCCATTTTAAAACTGACCTTCTTTGTCTTACAAACAAGTCTATAGCATTATTTTGCAATGGCCATTTCGTAAAATGTACAATTGTCTTTGACCAAGAGGCTTTATAGTGAAACACAACAATAATTATGTTTTTACATTGATATCTGCTCAGAGCATTTAGTTTTGAGTATGAAAATCTGCCCAAAGCGTTTAGTTCTTATCATTAATATGTTTTCAAAGCACCTAGTTTTGATTATGACTCATCCGTTTAAAACATATGTATCAATCTTCAAGTTTATGTAAACCTACCAGTCGACAAAAATGGCAAGCTTTTAATGAACATTAATTTGTTGATAGCAGGGATATCGGAACTGGGGAGGGCAACAAGGGCACCCATCCTCCAAAAATTTTGAAAAATCCCTTTTTCTTAGAAGTTCTTTCTCCCTTTTTCTGAGACATTGTACCTGTTCTTACCTCTCCAGCTTCGAAATGTCCATAGTTGATATTTTAAGAGCAGGAATTTAGTGCTATTAAATTACGAGGGGGTTCTTGCGTAAAATGTTGCAAATCATAAACAAAAGCAGAAAACGGCTGTTTTCCGGCTTTTTTATGGGGCCTTTACCTCTGGCACAAAGGCACATGCCTGACACTTAGCTATCTACTTGAAATTCTCTATTTGTCCATAGCTGATATTCAGCGAATCATATGCTCAAGCCGAGGGACTGAACTACCACACAAAGCACTTCTGTTGTTTTGGATGCGACAAAGAGCTTGCCGGCCAACAGTACGTACCGAAAGAGGGCCATCCTTATTGCATGGAGTGCAATGAAGTTAAGTTCTCAAAGATATGTCATGGTTGCAAAAATAAGATACCGCCTGCTGAGACATGCTACAGTTTTGAAGAATTCTTCTGGCACAACGATGCAACCTGCTTCCACTGCAGTGTCTGTCAGGTCAGCCTTATTGGAAGAGAATTTGTGCCAAAGGATGGGATGATTTATTGTTCCTCAGACTGCTTTGGAAAAGCAATGTCAGCTCAATGAAGCTGTGGTTGTTTTATTTGCTCAAAATATATGACATAGTGATTCCTTGAAGAATTTTAAGCCAAATTAAAGAAACATACGAAATCACTCTTACCTGCCTGACTTCTTAGTTATCGAATCTAGTTTGTAACAAAGCCTTCATCAATTTTATTAGAAACTCAAAGTACAGCAAAACTTTAAAAGTGCAAGATATGTCTTGCTGCGCAAAATCTCAACGTTCAAATCTTTCTGAAATTGCTTCTCAATATTGCACATCCCATTGCACATCGAAGTTTCACTCATTAGCCTAAAATAACAACACTCTAAGCCACACACCAGCCAAACATATATGAATATATTTTACTGCAAGTTATATATGTATGACACATTGATTATGGTGTTTCAAGTAGATGATGTCACTTTTTGACGAAGGAATGAGAAGGCACCCAGCCACGAGACCATATACTAATCACAGCTCCGAAATGTTCTGTCTGGGAGATCAGCTGATGAGCCAGTGAAATGTGTGCGAATAAGCGTATAACAACACACTTTTTATGGGTACAAAATATAGTATATACGTATAACCTATATCTACAACCGCAAAAAAAGTTGTAAATCACACCGTTGTAAAGAAAAGCTCATTACAATTATCTAGATTAGGTATTAAAATTATTTTCCTCAGTTATTAACAAGCGCTTCTTTTTTCTTGTTTACTGTTTTACGAATTCCTTCTTATCAACAAACATTGACCAACTACTAATATTAACAGTGGTATGTCCATTTTTGTAAAATGCATGCTGATGGACATTCAAAAGCCAATAAACATAATTGTGAAGCCACCCAGTGAAAATCGTATCACAGGACTGTCTGTAATTAAAGGGTCATTCCATTTCAAAGTGGGACAAATTTCTTCATTTTGTAACCCAAAGTCTCAGAAATTGCTCATTTTTTGTGGAAAAGTGGATAACCATGAGATAAACACATATACAAAATTTTACTTCATAATCTTTTGTTGTTCTAAAAATAGAGCATTTTGAAATTTTGCTGATTCTCAGCATTTTTTCCAATGTCCGCCATTTTGAATTTAACCCAGAGGTTAAATATACCAAATAAATGCCTCTACTTAGCATCTTGATGTCAAAATCATGTTTTTGACTGATTTATGTATCAGGATTTCAAAAAAAGTTAGAAAAAATTTGTGAGACACACCCACAGTCTGTAATTGACTGATTAATGAGGAGCAGTTGTTGTCATAGCAACGAGTTGTCAAGATGTTATTCAAATTTTTGTCATGTTGCACACCTGTGATAAATTTCAAATTTTCCAAGCACGAAGCTACAGTCATAAGTAACTCTTTTACAAAGAATTAGCAGGGTTATATTTGTCTTTACAAAAATACAGCCCTAGAAATGCTAGGTACTGTAAATGCCTCTTTCGTCTTCTTCACCTTGTTAAAAATTAGCAAATTGCTAGCTGAAAAAATTTTAAAAAATATGTAAAAGCAGGAACTGATCTCTTGACGATCTTTGTGTGTTGCAATTTATCAGCATACTGCTAGAATAACGCATATAAATCAGTTTGGGACATGGGTGTGGACATGGGTGTTGGCTAAGGGTGTGGAATGTATGCTGAAAGGTTGTAAGGGGCTTGAGGGCTGTAAAACTTATATTGGTTGGGAGCTGAGGCCTGTTCTCTGTAACAATTTATATGGTCATCATATAAAAAAGTCATGATACACCTTAAATATAATTAGCAACTTTAGCAACATCTCTGTCACAGAGGTAATATTGTCTGCTGGACAATGTTGATGTTCTTGGTGCTTCAACCATCATGACAACATTCTCTATAGGTACCCAGCATATGTCTTCTCTTCTGGGCCATGCAAATGAACAGCTTGGTAAGTGTGGGTGCAAGAAATTGACTTTTGCATCTTTGATTTCAGTGTCTAATTCACCAAAAAGCCCAAGCCAAAGAAAGTCATCATACGAACAGACCAAAAAACATCCAACACGGAGCTTTTCTTTGATTTTTTCATCTTTGGTTGGCTCTCCAGTAAGACTGAACTCTGCTTCAAAGTTGGTATCAACTGATGTTTGTTTCACACCAACTTTTCATTGTGATAAAGGGATAAATTGATGGAAGCTTCTTGTTCCTGGGACGGTCCTAGCTTTTGCAAAGCGGGTTTCCATGCGTCTTCTCGTCTGTGATATCTCAATTTGTGAGATGAAGAAAAATTGAATGCCAGAGATAAAATTTGAGCAAAATTCCATCATATGGGTTGCAGACAAAATTTGATTAACTGGGGGGCGTTGTAAACTGGCTTTTGCCGTGAGGCGCTTGACTGTCCCACCCATTGGAATCAGCAGCAATGCTCATTGCATCCCGTGGTTATATATCATCGTTGCAATGAAACTTCAGCAATAACAGAAGAGTCATTATGCTTTATTTCTGATGACTTGGAGCATGATGTGAGTTTTGTTCATGATGTCATGGAAGGTACTGCTACCTTCGTCAAGGAAAAAAATATCCACTGGCATATCAAAGATCCATTACTTCTCAGATGGCTGTGCAGGCCAATATAAAAACAGCAAAAATTTTCTAAACTTGTGCTACCATAGAGAGGATTTTGGAATTGATTGCCAGTGGAATTTTTTGCAACCAGCCACAGGAAACCCCCATGTGATGGAATAGGTGGGACAGTCAAGCGCCTCACGGCAAAAGCTAGTTTACAAAGCCCCCCAGGTAATCAAATTTTGTCTGCAACCCATATGATGGAATTTTGCTCAAATTTTATCTCTGGCATTCAATTTTTCTTCATCTCACAAATTGAGATATCACAGACGAGAAGACGCATGGAAACCCGCTTTGCAAAAGCTAGGACGTCCCAGGAACGAGAAGCTTCCATCAATTTATCCCTTTATCACAATGAAAAGTTGGTGTGAAACAAACATCAGTTGATACCAACTTTGAAGCAGAGTTCAGTCTTACTGGAGAGCCAACCAAAGATGAAAAAATCAAAGAAAAGCTCCGTGTTGGATGTTTTTTGGTCTGTTCGTATGATGACTTTCTTTGGCTTGGGCTTTTTGGTGAATTAGACACTGAAAGCAAAGATGCAAAAGTCAATTTCTTGCACCCACACTTACCAAGCTGTTCATTTGCATGGCCCAGAAGAGAAGACATATGCTGGGTACCTATAGAGAATGTTGTCATGATGGTTGAAGCACCAAGAACATCAACATTGTCCGGCAGACAATATTACCTCTGTGACAGAGATGTTGCTAAAGTTGCTAATTATATTTAAGGTGTATCATGACTTTTTTATATGATGACCATATAAATTGTTACAGAGAACAGGCCTCAGCTCCCTACCAATATAAGTTTTACAGCCCTCAAGCCCCTTACAACCTTTCAGCATACATTCCACACCCTTAGCCAACACCCATGTCCACACCCATGTCCCAAACTGATTTATATGCATTATTCTAGCAGTATGCTGATAAATTGCAACACACAAAGATCGTCAAAAGATCAGTTCCTGCTTTTACATATTTTTTAAAATTTTTTCAGCTAGCAATTTGCTAATTTTTAACAAGGTGAAGAAGACGAAAGAGGCATTTACAGTACCTAGCATTTCTAGGGCTGTATTTTTGTAAAGACAAATATAACCCTGCTAATTCTTTGTAAAAGAGTTACTTATGACTGTAGCTTCGTGCTTGGAAAATTTGAAATTTATCACAGGTGTGCAACATGACAAAAATTTGCATAACATCTTGACAACTCGTTGCTATGACAACAACTGCTCCTCATTAATTAGTTAATTACAGACTGTGGGTGTGTCTCACAAATTTTTTCTAACTTTTTTTGAAATCCTGATACATAAATCAGTCAAAAACATGATTTTTACATCAAGATGCTAAGTAGAGGCATTTATTTGGTATATTTAACCTCTGGGTTAAATTCAAAATGGCGGACATTGGAAAAAATGCTGAGAATCAGCAAAATTTCAAAATGCTCTATTTTTAGAACAACAAAAGATTTTAAAGTAAAATTTTGTATATGTGTTTATCTTATCATTATCCACTTCTTCACAAAAAATGAGCAATTTCTGAGACTTTGGGTTACATGCCTGTCCTCCTTTGATATGGAATGACCCTAAAGCAACGAGACAAGACTTTCATTAACGATGTAAAAATTTGATTGAGGATCAATGCTTGAAGATGGTTGCAGAGATTTTACGGTAAATGTGTTCAAAGAATAGTTGCAACTGATTGAGATGGAGTCAGCACGTGCATTATTAAGGGTTGATTCCCCTCTGCGACATTATATAAAGACAGAGAGGGAATGCAATCCTGCTTCGCTGGCATTTTGAAGAAAAATCTTGACGAAAGACATAACATTTGAAAGTTATTTAGTTTAATGAAAGTAAAGTTATTTAATCGCTAAGGAACTGTTATAACCTTTTTTGCTTGCTTGTTTCCACTTTGCAAACCACCCCCACCCTATCAATACTTCACTTTAAACCTTGCCTGCATTGGACATTGGGAGTTTGCTACTCCTTCTCCACAGACCTGGCTACGGGCTTGGTTCATGGGCATCCATTTTATGATTTTATGTGGTTTTAATCTCATTTTTGAACATTCGTTTGGGAGGCCAAAAATAGCCAAAATGAGGCCGGAGGCCAAAGGCAAATTTACGTAGCTAAACATTATTGTAAGCCATCACAGTAGGCCATTTCGCAACCCTGTTCAGAAGCTTCACCTTATTGTGCTAATACCCCAGTTTTATTTAGTGGCATCACACCTGGTGTCGTATAGTCTCTACATAATGTTTGACCCATAGCCAAAGTATTGTTCTCTTGTCTGAAGAAACTAGGATGTAGGACCATCAGCTTATTGTCTCACAAAACTACAAGTGACAAAAAAACAGAACTAGGACCTCTTGATAATTTGTGATTCATCCCAAAAACAACAATTAAAGGTGCTGCCTCTCACCCTTGTAGTGAGGGGCACCATCGATGCAGTGAATGGCCTCATTGAAACTAGGATTTGCTTTATACGCATTGAACCTGGCTTTTTTCACTATGGCACTCATTTGACTCACATCCGCATTTTTAAGGCCTATCAAACCTGTATAGATACTTTCATTAGAAAAAAGCCTGGCAAAGGGCGTCTCCATGCCTTTATTAATACAATGAGCGTTGAACGTGCTTCGTGGACTACTAATTGATGTCAAACGAAATGTTTCAAAATCTACACAAGGATAGTCCAAGCACTGACTGGTATCAATTGATTTGTGTTGGCAGGTCTGCCAACTATTGAATAACCAATTTCTGCTACAAAGTGAACGTACGCCTGTTAGCAATAATGCCATATCAATGCAGATGCAGCTGAATGTAAAAAGGGATCTCTTGTTATTGCATTCTTTAACAGCAGATACTTTGTTGAAGATTTGACCAGAAAGATCTTAGGTTTTTCAAGACTGTTAAAGAATGTTCGTCAAATACTTCTCATAAGAATATATCTAATCTGCAAGCCATGAATAGAAGGAACCGACCCAAAGAGCCACCAGAATGTCAAAGAAAGAGAATAACTTCTAGACAGTTAAAGAAGTGTTTACTGCAGCTACAATAGCTTCTAAGGTTCTCTACAGCAGTAATAGAAAAAGTGTAAGGAAAAAGGGATTTCGTTTCAAGTAACAGTCTGAGCCACCAAATGTTTTGCAAATTACAGAAGGAGATTCTTACCACCTGTTCTGTTTTTTTAATATGCTATAGAAGTAAACATCAGGTTAATCAGTTCTTGGCGAGAATCGTTTTGTATAGCAGCAATCAGTCTGAATGCACTTAGTCTTT